CATTCTATAAATTTATTCTATAAATAGCGGTCACCAATTTTTGTGGGACCGTAGGCCGGCCACGTCTCTCCTCGGGGACTTCACGACCGAAATTCAAATACCACCGATTGCTTTTCAAATATTTCAACGAAATCCTCTGTCCTTCCCCGCGCGAATATCGCTATCTGCGATCTAAGCAAATCTTTCCCAGGTCATTCAACGACGAACTTGCCCACGTATCGATTAATTCTGCAAGATTCCCCACCTTGTCTCGATATCTGAGGATCGAGGAGTCTTGCGTTTGCGAAATGTTCGGTATCTGGTGTCGGTGGTTATACCTCCGTCGTCGGTACGTGGAAGGCAGAGGCAGCGCGGGGAATAGATAAGCAAATAAATAAACTAGCGGGGCAAGGTGAGTCCGAGGTGACGGACGTGCGAGAGAGAGAGAGAGAGAGAGAGGGAGAGGGAGAGAGTAAGAAAGATAGCCTCGAGTAGGACCGGTGATTCTCGGGCGAACGTTCTTGGACGAGGTCGACGGCCTGACACGGATGGTTGACGCCGTGGGGCCCGTCTCGTAACCGGCCTGGGAAGAAGAACGAGAAAAGGTAGATAAAGAGAGGAAAGGAAAGGGCCCACCGCGCTGTGGAGCGAACGACGCGTTTTCGCCCTCCGCGAAGACGATAGATCGCCCTGTGTACCCCCCGGCTCGGTGATCGGTCTGGGTCAGCTGGCAATTCTCCTACTTCGGTACTCCCTTCGTTCTCCCTCTCTAGATTGCGGAGGAAGGATCGGAATGATCGTGAAGTATATAGATCGCTCTTGAACTAACAGGGTGGTCCTGTGCCCGTTTCTAGTATATATTAACTTCAATCTCGATTCAACTTACTGTTCATCTTTTTCTAGTTTCAAAAATTAGAAAAGGATAAAAGATTTGAATCGATCTTAATTCTCTATTGAGTACAGCGAGTATCCCAGAGTGTAACGTGCTCCCCGCTCTCTCTCTCTCTCTCTCTCTCTCTCTCGCTCGCTCGTCATCCCCCTTCTTCCTTCGGTAAAAGTGTGATCGATGGACGACGAGACGGGACGGGTGGCACGAAATTGGGGCGTTGCGTATTTATCGCTCCTATCTCGCCGCTATTTACTGTACCTGCGGCTTTTCGCCGCCGGCCCGCTTTTATCGTCCGCTCATTT